CAGGTTTCTATGATGTTTCTGTGAAAAGTTATTCAAAACACAGTAGAACACATTATATTTTAAAATATATATCAGTTGATTTATTTCAAGTTTTACAAATATGTAGCGTCATCTTATAACAGTACGAATGAATTGAATAAGATTTATCCAATAAGGTTTTTTTTCTTTTTCTTCACAAGTAATAAGAAAAAAAGAATCTGTTGAATGAATAAATGGAAGCATTAGTCTAGGCTATGTTTTACCCTTAAATGTCGATTGTTTGCTTTCCTTCTTTCGTCATTTTTATGGTCACGTTATAGAACAGCTGCTCTTTAATTTCTCTCTTATCTTGAAATTCAACTCTTTTATTTCATTGTGTTCAGTACATTATTAGGTCATATAATTTTAATTCAACTATGACGAACCTTGATCTAAACGAATGGTTTTTTGCATTTATTCATATTTCATTCATTTATACATTTATTACATTTTTACATCTTTTTGTTCCTGCATATCATGTTCGTGGTTATGTACATGATGGTCCTCCAATCTATCGTCTAAATGGTTTACGAGTTTTTTTCATAGTTAGTTTTTTATTTATTATTTGTATTGGATATTTTGAATTTATTGATATTCAATATTTAATTAAACTTCGAATAAAACATGCAATTTGTGCATGTTTATTAGGTTTAATATTTACATTTATTCTTGTACTTCCATATAAAAAAAATTCATCATCATTTTGGCTTGATATTTATCTTGGTCGTTTAAAAAATCCTCAATGGTTTTTTAATCGTGTTGATGGAAAAATTTTACTTTATATTATAGGAGGAATTGGATTAGAACTTAATTTAATTCTATTTTATTTTGAATATTTACAAGAAAATAAACCTATGACAAATATCATTCTTTATGTTTTTCTATTTAGTTTTTTTACAATAGAATATTTTTATCATGAATATGTTCATTTATATACATTTGATTTTATTATTGAATATGTTGGTTTTAAATTAGTTTGGGGTTGTCTTGTTTTTTATCCATTTTTCTATCCAACTGCTATTTGGTGTAAAATTCATCCAATACGATTATCTTTTAATCGACAAATTTTTAGTATTTGTATTTTTTTTCTTGGTTGGATATTATCTCGTGGTGCAAATAATCAAAAATATTTATTTCGAACACAACCAAATGCTTTATTTTTAGGTTTTATTCGTCCAATAACAATTAATGGACGTTTACTTTGTTCAGGATGGTGGTCTCTTTCACGTCATATTAATTATTTAGGTGATACTTTAATGGCTATTGGTCTTAGTTTAGCAATTCATGGAGGAATTTTTCCATGGTTATATCCACTTTATTATATTTTATTATTTATTGCTCGAGAAAGAACTGATTATGAGAGATGTAAAAAAAAATATGGTCTTGATTGGAATGAATATTGTCGTCGTGTTCCTTATAGAATTATTCCATTTTTATATTAATTAAATCAAAAAAAAAGAAATCATTGATATTTTTGTTTTTCTAGATCATTTAATAAACAAAATTTATAAATGACACTCAACAGTTTCGGTATGTAAATACAGTCTTAGTAAAAAAAATTCTGAGATATTTATGAATGACTCTTCAAAATTTTTGTATTTCATTCGAACTAAATTTTATATGTATATGATAGTTATATTTACTAGTTTAAAAAAAAAACTTGCTGCTGCCGCGATAATATTCAAAAACAAATGTTTTGATTTTCAAGGCTATGACTGGTTTGAACTAGAACTTCTACTGCTAATCGACTAGATTTGCTAAGTCTTACATATATAAATATCGAGATTCTATGCAGATACATGTAATTTTGAAATTTCTTCCTAAAAAAGCTGCCGTGATGGTTTTTAAAAAATCTGTCCTTGTTGCTATGGACATCTCTACTAGGAGATCGTGAGTCATGCCTTACGATCTTAGGGGTACTCCATACAATATAATGTTAATGATGATAATTAGTATGTTTTTCTTTGTTCCAGTGGTACAGCGGCGCTCGATCTAGTTCACCCTTGGTTAGCGCCCAATGTTATATCTAGAATGGAACCCGAGAGAACAACGCCCCTCCGAAGGTTATAGTTATTATATTACGTACTATGCGTCTACACTTCTAAAAGTAGATGTCTATCCTCCCGGAGTTTTAAATCGCTTCTTCAGAAGAGAAAATTTGGATAAAACACTATACCGATGCTAAACTTCTATGATTAATATAATACAATAGAATGTAAAATTTCGTCGAGTCATTTTTGAGTGTTTCAGAATTTTTTGCGAAGGTTTTAATTAATCAAAATATCTATAATTATTTTATTTTAGGAAACGAGACTGTTGTTGATTCACATATTTCAGTTGATCTTATTCATCGTAGAAAAGAACAATTAAAAAGAGAAATTCAAGTATGTTAAATACAATCTTAGACAAAAAAAAAAAGAAGCTGTCCGCTTGCGTTTTCTTGAAATATTACTTTTCTTTATGATATTGAACTCATATTTTGAATGCATGCATGCAACAATAAATTTTTATTGTAAGCAACGATTCGGTTCATATGTACGACAGTTATGATTCAAATATCATCTTCTTGTAAAAAACATTCAACGGAAAAAGGCAGTCTCATATGTGTAGTATGACTTCGAGTCTTCGTCATAAGAGTTTCTTCGTTATTTATATGATTAAATGTCTCAAAAGATTTGTCCATATTTCTATCATCTTAATAAAAATTTACATTGCTTCATTTCTAGATTATGTATAATCCCATAATAGAATGATATTCAAGTATGCTTATTTCCTACTTGCCAATTCCTAAACAGCTGTTTCTCATAAATATTCATGCGTACATGTTTTTTCAACTCATGAAAGAAATTCGTTTGTTCGTAAATAGAGAAAATATGTAGAACGAACTAAATTCGATACATCAAAGAAATTACAACTAAACAGCAAAAAACGATGACCTAATCTATTCGATAATTTACTTTGTTATTTTGTGTTCGTTCGGATCGAGTGTGGAGTTCACTATTACATATTTTGAAGATTATAAACTTGAGACTGTGATTCCATTCTGTTGAGATAAGGTCAGATAATTTAGAAAGCTCTGACCATTACTAATATGACTCCGATACAGGTGAATCAATGAGGGTTAGGTTGATGTTTACGATCACAGTTTATTATCATAAGTACGCACTCAAAGTATGAGTATAATATCACAAAGAATAGTAACATTTCAGAAAAGAGACTAAGTATAGCCACTTTTGTCTAGAATTTTGTATATACTACTTTAATAATTAAATTTTATGTTTTATATTTAAAGGAAATTCGTGAAAAAATTGCTCAATGTGAAGTTGAAATGTCAATAATACAATCTCATAATACTACTAAGTATGTATTAAAATAGATAAATGAATCATCATATCTTTATAACCTTTCGATATTTCTTAGTCATACATGAATAGTATAAAACAAGGTAAAAATGAACATGACTAATATAATACTTCTAACAGCTATAATTATTGATTATTCAACTCAAAAAAAAAAACAAGGCGTGACTAGAAAATAATTGAAGCGTCACATTTTTTTTCCTTTCTTAAACCAACGTATGTTTTGTATTCAAGCAGTTATTTTTATTTTTTTTTTGTGCTGATCAACAATACTAACTATGGATGATCATAAACAAAAATCATTATCGACAGTATCTAATACGATGATACTCAAATCACCTAGAATAATTGAGAAAACTAAAAGTCATGAGAGTAAGATATTCAATCAGAGTGGTTTAAATTTTGAAACTTTTCGAACGCGTATACATGGACTTAATTGGATGTCGGAACATAATCATACGACACCAATTTCGACGATTCAACCATTAAAACCGATGCGCTATGTTTGTCATTTTACGGTACCAGTTTCACTAAAAAGAAAATCTCGATCATTAAGGTTTTTAATTTTTTTACGAAAAGAAAAATCTTTTTATTTTTCCTTAATTATAGCCGTCAAAATGGAAATATCAAACAATGGATAATTGGTAAAAGGCAATTTAATGAGAATCCAAAAGAAGTAAATATATATATATATAATATTGCAAAAGTCAATCGGGAAAGGTAACATAAATATCTCTTATATAATTCAAGTGATTTCATTAATTTTTTAAAATAATATGTAAGTATATGTTCTTTAAAATTTTATTCTATATATTTCCAGGTAAATGTCTGTGCCTATAAACACATTAGAATAAAAATTGTTTTATAAATAACTAAATTTGAGTCATCCATAGATCCCATCGGGTTCAAAATTTTCGGACTTGATCGAGTTTGAGATCAACTCAATGAGGTCTAGTCATTTATGGTTGTGAAATGAAAATTCCACTAAAGTAATCAAATGTTTGACCTTTCACCAATGGCTGGTCCATTTTACGAACAATAGTGCGCCGAATTATGACTGAATAACTTTCATTGAAGTCGTACAATATATAATTTGTTCGTGAAATGGAGCAGGCCTTTGCGAGACAGCTCGAACACTTGATTGTACTTCATTTTTCACAAACATCATATATTTCATCGACTTTTTCTTCTGCAGTTTTTGACAGTCTTCTAGAATGTTCTCATTCTTTCATTGTATTATTTTCACAAAAATATTGAAATGTAACTTTAATAGAATCTTCATTTGGTGTATTTTTGCCGAACTCGATGTGCAGTTTTCGTTTCACAATCATAGGCATTCGTAGGCACAAACATTTCTACATACTTACAACGAAATCGCTTGAGTTATATAATAGATATTTACGTTAACTTTTCTGATGGATATTTAGGACATCCTGTATATATATATATATTTTTTTTTTGTAATTTTTCTAGGGTATTCGTTGGCTTATTGATAATAATCTTATTCAAAATACTCCAGAACATGTGGCTGCATTTCTATTTAATGAAATTGGTTTAAGTAAACGCGCAATTGGTGATTATCTTGGAGAAAAGTATTTTATTTTATTTTATTTTATGTGCAATTTCAAAGAGATTTTTTTTTTCTTTTTGATACATAGAGATGATTCTCATATTGAAGTTCTCAAACATTTTGCTCATATGTATGATTTTTTTTCAACCGATATTGTCGAAGCTTTGAGGTATATTTTTCATTAAATTAAATCTTTTTTTTTTTCTTAAATAGGTTTTTTTTTCTTTTGTAGACGTTATTTATTTACATTTCTTCTTCCAGGTGAAGCACAAAAAATTGATCGAATTATGGAAGCATTTGCTCAACGTTATTATGAATGTAATCCAGATATATATGCTAATGCTGGTAAGTTAAATTAAAATATTATATTTCGATTAAATTAAATTATTTTTTTTTTATTTTGAATAATAATAGAAATATGTTTTATTTTATCATTTGCTATAATTATGTTAAATACATCATTACATAATAAAAATGCTCGTTTGGGTGGTCCATTTACATATGAAAAATTTGTCTGTAGTTTAAATGAAGCTATTCCACGTCAACATATGCCTGATACAAATCTAATCAAAGTAAATTTTATAATAGATATTTATTCTTTGTTTTTCGACTATTTTTGTTTTCTTTTTTTTAGAATATTTATGATAATATTAAAAATAATGAATTAAAATTTCCTGATGATGATATTGATTTATCGAGTGTCAGCGCCAGAATTAAAGAGGGGTGAGTATAACTTGAGAATAATTACGAGTGTACAGAGTAGAAGGCGGAGCAACCGTCCCAATTTTGAAAAGTTTTCATTTTTCCTCAGCGAAATTCTAGTGTTTTATTTTTGTTGCTCAAAACTGATTGAACCCTTGCCCAATCTACATGGTCATCCAAAAATTACAATAAAATACCTATAACTGTGAATAGAATATTTGAAGCAACTTATTCTTTTGAAGTTTTTTTATATCTCACTGTGATCTACCTTATGTACAGAGTCTGAATTCAGAAGCGATTGATCAGTTGAAAACATTTCCTTGTGAATCATCGAACCTTCATCATCCATATCTTGGTGATCTCGAGATACCTCTGCAAGAGTACAAGCAATTCGTTGTATGTAATATTTACCAATCAATAGAAAAACTTAATTTATAGAAAATTTAAAGATAACACAATTCACAATAGTCGTTTCCTAGTGAAAACTGCTAAAATTGTCTTGAAACTTATAGCTTACATAGTTTCATGGTAGCATAATTCAAAAGATGAATTTGATTTCTCAATAACTAATCGCAAGTACAGGTGTATGTCACTATATAGCCTCCATGCTTTCGCATTGATGATCCGAGATAAACAGAAGTTAATGATTTGTCTAAAGACCGATGGTACTAAGTTGTCCCGTTCTATTCTATAAACTTATTAAATTATTTGTATTTTCGAATTTATTCACATAATATTCATTTGTCTGTATTAATAGTGACTCCATAATAATTAAAGAAGGATGGTTATGGAAACAAGGTAACAAAAAAATAATAAAAACAATAAAAATACTAAAAAAAAAAATAATAATTTAGGTGGTCGTGTTCGACAATGGAAACGACGATGGTTTGTTATAACAGATGGTTGTCTTTTTTATTATGAATCTAGAACAGTAAATTTTTTTCGTTTTGAATATTTATACAACTAAATTAAATTTTTTATTTTTTTCTTCTAATAGGAAGTTGATAATCCTCGTGGTATAATACCATTAATTGATGTTGGTGTTCGAGAAATTGAAGATGATCGTACAAAACAATTTTGTTTTGAACTTTTTCCACTTGCTGGAGAAAAAGTTAAAACAACAAAACCAATACCAGGTGAAATAGGAAAAGCTACTGAAGGTTAATTATAATTAAATATTTTCTTTGAAAAAAAACTAAATAAATATTCTTTATTTTAGGTAATCATACTGTTTATCGAATGTCAGCATCATCAGAAGATGAACGTAAAGATTGGATTCGTGCATTACGTATTGGAAGTCAAAATGAACTACCTAAACAACGATCATCTTAATAGTATAATATTATTGTTTATTTTTACTTCTGGTGCTAGCAATAGTTTTCATTCCATTATAAGTGTGCTTACTGGCTGGTCCATGTTATATCTTGTTTTCTGTTTTTGTCATCTTTCTCTCTCTCTCTCTGTGTCATGACGCCCGGTGCGTTGTTTTTTGAATGTGTGAATTTATGTATAGAACAGTGTTTCTGTCGCGCTCATGTTTCTTTTTTTCTTTTAGCGTTAAATAATAAGTGATAATGAAAAAAAAAAAAGAAATTAAAAAAAACAAAATTTTTTTTTGTAGATTTCTAATTAATTATGCCATTAGAAAGTACCATTATTTGGTGAGAATAATCATGTTGTTTGTTTGTTTTAATAATTTTGATAAAAATATAAAATTTAGTGTTGATAATAGTGATTTTATGCGTGATGGAGATTTTATTCCAACACGTATGCAAGCACAACAGGATGCTGTTTCACTTATATTTCATGCTAAGACAAGATCTAATCCTGAAAATAATGTTGGATTATTAACATTTTCAGAGTAAGAAAATTTTTATTAGAATATATATATAATTTTTTTCTTCTTATAAATATTATTTGTTGATTTTAGTGGTCGAGTCGTTACTCAATTGACAAATGATGTTGGGAAAGTTTTTTCAAAATTGCATTTATTACCAATAGAAGGAAAACTTGATTTTTGTAAAGGAATTAAAGTAGCTAATGTAAGTTATAAACAAGAGCTGTGAATAAGCAAAACATCAAATCATCAACTATCGAACTTCCGATTAGTCTAGTTAACTTATTCTTTTTTTTTCTCAAAATGAAGAAGAAAATTGTCCCTATAGTACAATGAAAATATGATTAATAATAGAAAAGAAAAACGCAATGTGTATTCGAATAAAAGATTTTATTTGAAATTTATTGAAAAAGAATCTTTGACATTATAGTTGTTTGATAGAAAATGAAAACGATATATACGAATATTCAAAACGTATAAATTTCATACAACAAATATCTACATTTGTAAAAAAACATTGTTCATTATAATGAATAGTGCAAGTTAAATGGAATATATTTTCTATGCTCTTTCAATCGAGAATTTCTTCGCTCGACAAAACTATTTCGTTTGTTTTTCAAATAAAATTTTTTTGTGAGAAAAAAATTTAAAATATGAACGTCTGCTTAATCGTCTAACTACGATTTTCTACAGAGATCTATCAGTTTTTGTGTAAGTCGTTGCTTATGAAGACCGATTCTAAAAGTAAAGTATTTAGCATCAATGCATAGACAATTTTGTACTCTCTACTTTTACAATCTTTTACAAGGTTCCTGATATTTAACATTTAGAAGAAAAAGACCTGCAACTAATTCTTAGTGGTATTTTTAAGTATATTCTGGAAAATCCTGTTTTTGAAATTGAAACTTATTATATAAAACGTTTATTTTCATACCGATGAATGTAGAATTTAATTCTGAAGGTTAAGAAGAATAATTACATAATCCTGTTAGAAAAGCTTGTTTTTAAGTATTTCACATTTGAAGGTTTTGTAGTATATTTGAAATTTTACATGAACGTTTATTAAAAATTTTGTATCATTTTTTTCATCTTTTTTTGACTATCGTAGTTGAACGATTGAGGAAATGTTAGTCTTTTGCATTTTGCTTCAACAAGAAAAAGTTATTTGAAAACTAATGGTGAATATTTTGTACAGCGAAAAATTCTTTATCAAATGAGTATAGAATTGACGAAGAAATCCTCTACCTTTCAAATTACATTTTCTTAAAATGTCGAAATTTTACTAGGTTTTTCAATAGAATTGTGTTCCTTCTCAAGTGACATGAAAAATCAACTTTCGAGCTTCGATTTCAAAGTTTGCACGAACAAATTTCTTCATGAAATTAGTTGATTGTGTAACTAGTAATTCCCCTTTTCTGAAGATGTAAATATATGAACAAAATTTGCTTTCAGTATTACTCAGTAGTGATCATCAAATGAACATCGTTTCAGTCAAAAAGCGATTTGATACCTGGAGAGTAGTACCTGTTGGATCCGAATCTGGACGACGGGCTCTACTGAAGAGATAACCTCATAAATTCTGAAAGTGTATCGAAGTGTTTTAAATGAAAGAAAATGAGTTCGTCCTATTTAATCTGTTCCACTAGTTATCATATGTTGAAATGGTAGAATTAAAAATAGTTATTTTCTATTTAATAGTTAGCATTAAAACATCGTCAAGGAAAAAATCATCGACCACGTATTATTGCTTTTGTTGGTAGTCCACTTGAAGCTGATACACATGAATTTACAAAATTAGCAAAACGATTAAAAAAAGAAAAAGTATCAATTGATATTGTTGTCTTTGGTGATGAAGTAAGAATATTCTTATTAGATAATATTAATATTGAATTTATTTATTTATTTATTTTTTAATATTTAGTCATCAAAAGAAAAATTTGAAGAATTTATTACAGTTATTAATGGAAAAGAAAATACAAAGTATAAATTATAGATAATGATGATTAAATAATTATTTATTTTCATTAATCTAGTTGTCATTTGATATGTGTTCCATCAGGAGGTAATCTACCTGATACACTTATTAATACACCAATTATTCAAAGTGAAGATGGTTCTGGTTTACCAAATGGATATTCAGCTAGTGCATTTGCATTTGGAATAAATCCTGAAGATGATCCTGAATTAGCTATGGTTTGTTATAATGGTATTTTTAATTTAAAAAAACAAACAAAAATCTTTAGGCACTTCGAATTTCAATGGAAGAACAACGACGTGTACAAGAAGCAGAAATAGGTCGAAACACAGATGGTGAAGGTGGAGGTCAACAAAGTTCATCAGCAAATATAGGGACTTCTGGTAAGTAAATTTTCTTTTCTTTTTTTTTTCTTTTTTGATAATATATTATTCAATAGGTTCTTCTCTCGAAAATTTAACAGGTAGCAATGAAATGGATGTAACACGACTTACAGAAGATGAACAAATTGCATTAGCTATTCAAATGTCTATGTCACAAGCTGAAAATACGAGTATGTACATATTTCATTTCTCATTAGTTTTTCATTTATTCATATCTAATTTAGATACAAATGATGTTGAAATGAAAGAAGAATCTTCAGCTGCAGCTACAAGTGAACAACCAGGAAAAGTTAGTCGATTTTTTTTTTCGTTATACATTTGAAAATATTGTTTTATAATAGACAAATGAAGAACAACAAAGTACAGATTCATTTGCTGCTTCACTTAATGATCCTCAATTTCTACGAGATGTTCTTCGAGATTTACCTGGTGTTGATGTTGATAGTGAAGCTGTACGAGCAGCTCTTGAACAAGTTCAACAACAACAACAACAAAAGAAAAATACTGATGATGATAATAATGATACAACTAAGAAGAAAAAAGATGATAAATAAGAAAATATTGAATGAAATATGTCACTACTTAATCGAGATGAACTTCAATGGATTTTATGTTATTGTTCTTATTTTTTATGTTCATTGTTTGTTGCTCCTAATTATGATATTTGAACCAGCTATCAAAATAACAACAGCGCGCAAATTTCTTTTTCTTTTCTATAGTTCTTGAAACATAGTTTCAAAACTATCTATATATAACTCATGCTTTCTATTATTATCAACTTTTAACAGATAATAATAATAATAATAATATACTCGAATCTTTTCATATAAGAATTATTTACTCGGACGAAAACTATACTAATCCTAATATGATCATCAATTGTTCATGAAAATACAAAGAAGTTTCATTTTAATGCTATGCACTGGATGGCCTAAAAGTCACGTTGCTGGAAAAAATTTGATTATCTCCATTACGGCTCGAGCAAACGAGTCGATTTTTTTTTGTCAATGATGGAAATGTGTTCAAGGTTTATTTTCATAAAGACATGCCTGGAGAGAGACTCTTTGTTAAGTATCATCAATGATCTCAATAAAAAAAATTTACTTTTTCACAAATAGGAAAAAATCAATATACTATAACGAAAGGACAATTTATCAAGAAAAAATGGACAATACTTTAGAATAAATGTTCAAATTCTTTCCCTGTTCTGTTAGTACACATTTGACAATGATCTGCTACAGAACAACAGATTGCAGGGCATAATTCAATGTTATCATTTAGCGATGTAAATTCTTGTTCAATTTATCTATGAATATACAAGGTGTGTTATTTATAAATTCCTTTGATTGATTATATTTTTTTTCTTCATAAACTGTTCTGTCGTTATAGTGTATTGTCTTTTTTTTCATATTTGTAAAAAAGTAAAATTTTTTTTGTTGAGATCACTGACTGATGATACTTAACAAAGAGTCTTTCTAAGCATGTCTTTATGAATATAAAACTTCAGCATGTTTCCATCATTGACAAAAAAAAATCGACTCGTTTGCTCGAGCCGTAATGAAGATAATCAAATTTTGTTTCGATAACGTGACTTTTGGGCTACTCTGTATATATAATGTTAGTATTCGAACTAAGGTTACGTACAATCTCGGATCGGTATTCAATTATTTCTTCATATGGTTCATCATCGCCTGTAGATGAGTTTTTATTAAAAATGAATTCTTTCAATAAAACAATAATTACCTTCTACTTCTATGACCTGTTCTCATGTACAATAAATTGCTCAGGTTTTCATCCCTATCTTTTTTATATAAATTAACAATTTGAAAAAGTAAAAATATATTGAAACAACGAGATCTCATTAATTATCACGTTGGGTCCGAATATGAGATAATACCGAGATACATGCTCTGGGTCAGACCGGGTTGCAGGACACTTATACAACAGTTCAAAGTACCTATTCGTACGAACAGGATACTAATACGATTCTATTTCATATGATATGTTTAAAGCATAAACTAAATACTTGTCTTCTCAAATTCTTTTTCATATCAAAATACAAATCTACTATTAAGTCGATAATGAATGTTGGAATCATATATTCTATTCAGTTCTCATGTTTTATTTTTTTTTCATACGTGCTCTTATATCTTTCTATTACTTCATTTGCAAAGAAGAAGAAAAAAATTCATAAATACGCTCCCGCTGTTTTTGCATCACTTGAATAACATACAAATAAATTGCTTTGTCATGTAATGAATACTCAAGCAAAAAAACAATCTACGACTTAATCTTTGTTTTTTCTTTATGATTATATTTAATTTTTAAATGACGTCAGATATATAGTTATTAAAATCTCAGTTATATCTCTATTGAATTACTAAAAGAGAGAAAGAATATTTGTGAATAATATAATACGCACACACAACTGATTTTGTCTATTCATTATCGAAAAAAAAAAGGAAGAACGGAATGACAGAATAAGAAAACGGCACAAGAAAGAAAAAAAATTAGACATTATGCAATGAAAATTAAAATAAAAAAAAGAAAAATTAAAAAGTTAAATGTTAGTTTTCTTTTTTTTTTTATTATCTTCATTGGAATACTCAAATTAATTAGTTTATCAATCATTCAAAAAAAGAAGAAAGAAAAAAAGATCATTCAATTTTGTTTTTTTTTTTCATCACAAGAGTGCACATTTAAGAAAAAAGAAGGTTCAATCTTCTTTTTTTTTTTAATTTGTTCTATGATGATAACTAATAACAGTACGATGTCTAGTTGCATAATCATTATTGTCTCTTTCATAGGAAGATTCTCGTTTACCACAATCAGGACAAATAATATTAGGTCCTTCAGTAAGAAAACCTCGACCAACAAGTGAACTTCGACAACGTTGACATGCAAAACAATCATTATGCCAATGACGATCTTCAAATGATATATAACGTGTACCACCAACACCTATTGAATAAAAAAAAAAAAAAAATAATATAGATTTTTTTAAGCTTACATTTATTTAGTTTCATTTACCAGTTATTGGTTTAGCGCATGCAAAACATCTTTTAGCAAAAAGTCGAGCAAAACAATCGGAACAATATGGATGACCATCACGTGCTGTAAAACGTTGTGAAGCTAAAGAATTTTTACAATTCGTACATGTAAAACATTCACGATGCCTAAAAAAATAAATATTTATAATAAAAACAAATTAATTTTTAAATTGTAATTATACCATGGTTGATCTTTGTAAGTTACACCACCTTGACTTATGACCTATGAATTAAAGAAAAAATAAAAAATAAATATTATATATATATATATATGTATGTACGGCTATACCTTAAGACAACCAGTACATTTAGTTGCAAAATGTTGTTCATAACATGGAATACAATAACTTTTTTGATCTCTTGGAATAAAACTTTTTGTACCAATAGGTTGTGAACATGAATAACAAGTAAAACAATGTTCATGAAATTGTTGTCCACGATATTCAAGTTTTTTAGTTCCTTAAAATAGATTTATTTATTTATTTAATATTCATATAATTAAATAAGATAATTTCATTTCTTTTTTTAAACTAACCTGGTCTAAATATTTGATGACATTTATCACAACGTGTAGCAAATTGTTGATTATAACATTCTCCACAATAAAGTTTTTCATTTATACAAGCAAATGGTTTATCGACAAGTGGTGTTTTACACATTGAACAAAAAAAACATTTTTCATGCCAATGACGATCTCTATATGAAAGATCCTTTGCAAAACAAACAAACAAAAACAAAAATTAAAAACATATCATTATTTTTATTTTTACTAACTTTTGAATCAGTACCAATTTTTCTTCGACATTCATCACATGTATTAGCAAAACGATCTTCATAACATTTTATACAATAAGGACGATCATCTTTAAGTATATATCGCGAACCAGCTAAATTTCGATCACAATTATGACATGAAATTTTATCTCGACCAGCACTACTACTACGATATGGCTCATATTGATATGGTGTATGACCATTAGCAATTTTTGTAGTAGTACTTGTTGATCGATTAAAATCACCATCACCACTACTATATGTTACCTGAAAAATAATATTTTATATATGTTTTCTATTATATAAAAAATATATAAAATCCTTATTTTAATCGGTTTATATTATACACACTCACGTGTACTAGTTCATCTTCCATATTTATTTTGTTATAAAAATTAATTTAAACCAAAAGCAATAGTGCACACGATGATAATAATGATATTAACAAGCACATCCCATCTACACGATGACTCTTTTAAAATAAGTCTCGTGTAGGAGAAAACGAGATACAGATCTATATGTACTTCTTTTACTCTTTCTAGTTTCTTTGTCCGTCTTTCTTTTTTTTTTTTTTGAACGGACAAGCAAACGAGAAGAGCTAGCTGAGAGGAAGAAAGAAAAATTAAAGCGAAGAATATGTTTAGGTAGAGACAAACAGAGAGTGAGTGAGTGACAAAATAGTTATATGCAAACAGAACACATAAGCATATAGCCTAGAAGAGAATGACAAAAAAATGAGTAGAAGCATAAAGAACATGTTAAGTCTTTGTGACGATATTACATCTTCCTCATACATTCATGCAATTATTTGTTACAATGAACTTTTATTTTTAAGACAAAGAAAATAAAATATCATGACCAACGATTTCTTTTTATCATTTGAGTATAAATTTGTGAGCACTCAAAAAAAAAAATCTTTCATTTATATGTGTATATATGCGTTAATATTGCAGAAGTATCACTAGCAGTCACTTGAAGCTATATGAATGCAAGAAGAATAACATACATATATACTTCAAGGTATTGTGTATATGTGTAATCGGAAGAAGTTCAAGCAATTTTTTTTTTTCTTTGATGATTGTTTGAATTATGAAAAAGAAAAATAAATGGAAAGATCCACTTTATAAGAGTATATTTATGCATAATACATCGATGATGAAAAGAGAGAAAGAATGAACACTAAGATATCATCAGTAGGATAAATTTGAATGATATCAAATATCCATATGATGATGAGTGTTATAACGACGTGTTTGAAATGAGGACAACCTATTTATTCTTGGATGTTGTCTCAGTGTCAAATATTGAGAGAGGTATAATATAAAGAAAAAGAAAAAGGTGTATACGAATCCTATTTTGCGGTTTGCATATTTCAGGTATGAAAAGAAATAGAGGCATTTGTATGAATATTAGTCAATATTAGATATTAATCGATAAGTATTTTTGTATGTGATTCGTTTTCAATAATATTTAAAAAAGATTATCGATAAAACTTGAATTAATGTACTGAATAATTATTTGAAAAACTCAATAATATGAAAAATAATTATTTTGGAATCAATTCCGATATGTTTTCTTTTTCTTCAATGCAATCATATTGGATGTTTTTGAAAGCTATGCACCCAAAAGCTGATTTTAATAGTAAATGAATATGTGCATGTCGGTTATCAATGAAATAATGAACTCAAAGTATTTCTTTTTGATACCTACGTTCACTTTGACATGGTATTGAACCTTTGACAAAAATTAATATTGTAATTATTTAGAATATTAAATCACATAGTCCTATTTAATATTTTCAGAAAATGTCGAAAAAAGGACAACCAATTTATTTATCTAATGATTGAGAATTTTGTTTTCGTAAATTAAAAAAAAAACAAAACGAAACGAATAACAAACCCGATCATTTCGACGATTGTCTCCATCAGGATATTGCCTTGAAATAGTTTGTGCATTGGTATAATGTGGTTGTTCTTCATAAATATGACGTTCTTGTGCAAATGAATATGATGGTTGTTGTTGCGAATATGTTGGCTTTTGATATTGATAATTATCTCGAGAACTACCTGAATATGTTGGTCGTTGATGTGAACTTGTAGTTGTATATGCCATAATATTAAAAAAATATATATATCAAAAAAAGAAGAAAACAAATAAATGAATTACATAGAAATCTGATAAGCTAATTCATAATTCATTTTCCTATATTTCTTCTCTTGCACATCCGACTCGACAAATGTTTTCGTTACCATTACTTTCTTATGTATGTTTTTTTGCAATGTCATTCTCTATACCTTTCTATTAATCCGAAAAGTTTCTTTTTTTCTGCTTCTGCTTCAACCACTCAAGTGTGTGTGTGTATGTATTTGTGATCGACGAAGCCAAATGTAAAAAAAAAAAATAAGAGAATAGAAGTAGAAGGACATGTTGATGTGTCTTGGTGTAATAAAGAGTCATGCCAACCACAGTGCATGTATGCATTTTTGGCAAACTCAACAACATCATATCATCAAAGCAAAAAAAAAAACGTGAAGAAAACGATTCTGTTGATTCACGAATGCAATAGAGGTACCACATGGTAGAGTAGGCGACATATTTACCACAAACTCAGAATATTTGCTCAAGTTTTCAAGTATTTGTTGATGAATAACAACTAAATATATATATATGTATATATGTAATCCTTTAGTTTTTCATCAAACGATAAAAGAAAATTCTTTTTAAAGATGTTTAAATAAAACTATTTATGAATATATCTAATTATTATGAAAAAATATTCTGAAGATCAAAGGCACATGAATGTTCATGTGTATTTATGTGTGCATATGTGTGTTTTTTTCTTTCATTGAAAATTAAATAGTAGTCACGAAATAGAGAATAACAACTAATAAAGAAAAAAAAAGAATCTTGCTAAAAAGAAAAACATAAAACGAAATTAAACAGATGTAGTCCGTTTAACACCTTTTCTTGTATTTCGTCGTATTGTATTATCATTAGTTTGTCGTGATATGCGTGAATTCGCTGAGATTTTTGTATTAATTGTGGGTGCTGGTGTTGTTGGTCTTGAATTAGCTAATAATTGTGCTTGAGATTTTGATTTAACCATTTGTGTAAGTAAATCCATATCTTCAGCACGAATTAAAACACGACAATAATCTCTATAATTAAGTGTCGGTGATCGTACTGGTGTAATTGTTGTATAATGTGTTTTATCAATTCGTTGTAATGGTTGTGGTGAATACGATTTATCAAATGGTATCCGTCTTCTTTGTTGTTGTTGTTGTTTTTGTATTAAAGGATTTGATACATCATTTGATGCATGTTGATAATATACATGATTTTGATTTGAACGATTTGTTATCGAATTTGTAGTATTATTCGTTGGAGACCATGAAGCAAGATTTAATGGTAAAGCAGTTGTCATTGATAAACAATTACCCATAAGTTGACGAGTACGTTCACGTAATTTTTCTTGTTTACGTACAAGTGCACGAAAACGATAAATAAACCAATAAACTGTTAAAACACCAGTTAATTCTTGTAAAACAAATGATAAAACGGCACATAGAAATGAATATCCATAGTCACAATTCATCAACGGAAAATTTTGATCATATTTAACCGATTCTTCAGTTGTAATGGAAACATATAAGGTAACACCAACCATTGTTAGTAAACCTATTTATTAAAAAAAATATTCAAAAACAAAAAGAATTTTATATTTTAAATTTCACCTGAGATAGAAAATAAAAGTCCTGAGATGAAAAAAACAGCTTTTCGACGTCGTTTACAAAGACCACGTGTAAACAAAAAAATAGCCAATATTAAGAGAACAGAGGCAGCTGTAAAACAAGCCATACTTGGTGCTGATCGATCTAATTTAAAGTAATAAGGAAATAAAAAAGAACAATAGAATGTTCATATTTGAATTAAATTACAAAATATTAAAAAAAAAAGAAAAGAAACAATAAAACTTTAAAATCTTACATGATACAGCTTTAAAACCTTTTTCTAATTTTGCTTCTTCTTTAGAATATTTAACAATCTCACATGTATATGGAATATCTTTTGTTTCTCTCACACATTCTCGCCAAAGACCAATTCGATGAAAAGTATAATTTAAAATTCTTGTATCGCCTATTTTTGCTGTTGGATTTTGTGATAATCTTGTTTGATTTCCATATATCCAATAATCAGTAAATAAACAAACGGTCATAAGTGCAGGCGCAGTATAGGCACTGACCGAAGCAAATATCATCAGTGCCTTATGATGAAAATTACCCATCCATGCGCCGTCACTGCGCAATCGGGAAAGGGACTAGTGTTATTAATCGACTAGCGAATACAATAGAAAACAAAAAGTGCGAATGAACTAAGTGTAACAAGACACAAGGGTGATAGAAATGATGATGATGTTGATGATGTGTCAAATCATCTAAAATGCAAACACACACTCATATATACCTAACGCATAGAAACAAAGTCGAAGCGTTTAGAGAAAGATTACTATTGTTGTTCAATTTTGCCGTTAGATTCTGAGTAGATAACTTGGCACGCAACATCTCTTTCTCTCTCTCTCTTTATCTTTTTTGTTCAAATTATTATTTATGACTGCAGAGCGCATACACAACACACACATACACACATTGGACCGCTTCGCATTTGAAGTCGTTCGTTTCTTTACTAGCATTCATAGTCCTTGAGCTAATACACCACACACGAAGAAGAGAGATGCATCTATCATCAGATTCAAAGCGAAAGAACGGAAAAGATACAGAAATATTTTATTAGTATTTCTTTTGGTGCGCACACACGCGTTCCATCTCGATCGTGCGCGACACGATGAGATGTGAATTCACGATCGGATCATCCTCTCTCTCTCTCTCTCTCTCTCTCTCTCTTTTCTAATGCTAATACACATAAGGAAAATTGCATTTTTTTATCTCACGCTTGCTCTTTTCTTATCATTCTTTTTCTCTTCCCTCTTTTTTTTTTGACTATCTTTATGAGTGTCTACGAATGACGACAACCAAGTTGACGAGAGCAACGAGAGAATATGAGTAGATACTTTGGAACAATTGATCGGAAGATAAGATTCGCTCTTTGCTTTGTGCCTTGAACAATTGTCTTTTCCTCTCTCTTTTTCTAATGCCTCTCCCCTTCTTCTTACACTAGCATTACTAACATTCAGCCTAGCGGCAAAATCTTTCTTTACATACGAACACTAAAATCAGTCGAATAAGTGACAAAAACAAAGGATTGACAAAGCTAAAATATAAAAAGAAGAATCTTCAATAAGTTTTAATAAGAAAAATGTTTGAATAATAAGATTGTCAGACTATTTTTTTTTACATACATGGTCATGGTCTGCTGATTTTTATGATTTATTCGAATTATTGATTAGATAAATTAATAGTTTAGATTTTTAATTATTTATGATTAAATTGAAATCAACGAAAATCTTGATTATTATTCAAACGATTGAAAAAAAAATCAAGTTTGAATTTCGAAAATTTCTTAGAAGAATATTTAACAGATTTTTTTTTGTTCTTATATATTTATTGACCTATGATTAAATATAATAATAATAATAAGTTTATCTCGACAAAAACATTTCAAAAATCTTCTTTTTTTTTAAACTTAATCTAAAATGCTATTCATTTATAATTTTAGTAATTAAAAACCAGTCTTTTAAAAAAGATAATTAATATTTACTTTATTTGATAATAATATATATATGATTGATCAATCATCAGATGAAAAGAGCTTCGAACATGCTATATCAATTATAGAAGAAAAAACTCTTAGAATAACATATTACATATTAAGAGGAGTTTTATATAAAAGAGAAAAAAGTCAATGAATTTTTGTTGTATCATAACTTTATATTTCAAGTTCTCATTTATTCTTTATTTTCCATTTAGATTTATTTTTTAATTAATTTTATAAGAGAAATAAATATACAAATAAATTCTTTAGAGTATATCGTGGAAGGAGAAGCATGCTGATTAATAATTACATGAAGATGAAATTCTGTAATTCTACAGAAAGCAAATTATATTGGACCAACACTAAAGTGAACCGAAAAAAGTTTAAGATATTTTTTACTGTAATATTTTCTGTGGAAAGAAAGTAGGTAAATGACATATAAAATTAGGGTCAAGGTCTTCACGAACCATCTATTCTTAATCTAATTGTTTGTAGCGACAAGAAAAAGAAGCAATTTCAATTTTTCTCTACCAGGCAAAATTTTAAGACATTTTTAGTATGTTGGCAATTATCTTGTTATCGAAAAATAGAGATAATTATTGAAAATATACCATTAAATGTAGAATTGAACGGGCTAAATTTTTGCATAAATAAATTTCAAAAACAAAAATATTAGTTATAATAATTTAATATTATTATTTACTAACTAGAACAACGTTTTGTTAGAAATTTTGATCTTCAAGTATACTTTTCGAAAGAGTATTGAAAACTGAATAACACTATATTTTGCAATAACTCTTTATAACAAAGTTTTTTGTTTGAAACACACTAATTAAAAATTAATTAAGATTCCATTAATAATTAAGAAAAATGTGCTCTAAACGTACATTTACAAATCCTTGTAATGTGTCCATCATCTAATACAATCTCTTTTATCTTTGATTAATAATTTCAACAATGATTTTCAGCTATTTTTCATTTTCTATATACCTTAATATTTTCAGAATGTTATATCAAATGAAGAGTAGAACCAATTGTTTTTGGTCCTGATCAAAAAAATTGATCTCGGAATGTGAACTATCTTGCTCATGTTTTGCTATATTACATCTAATGATATATTTTTAAAATTCGTCTCTGTTTTTCAATAACAATATAATTAACAAAATATTTAAAGTGTCTTAAACTTTTGTCTGCTAGAGAAAAATGGAAGTTCTTTCTTTTTCTTCATCCTACAATTAATTAGATTAAGAATAAGTGATTCATGAAAATCTTGACTCTAACTTTGTACGTTACTCAAAATAGATCATTTACCTCCTTTACTTTCATAGAAGGCACTGAGATTAAAAAAAAATTCCTTAAACTTTTAGAGTCCACTTTATATCGTTCTTTGTTGCTACTTGTCATCTATATTTGTAAGAATAAAAGAAGGATAATTATACTCCATTATTTTTATCGACAATATACTTAGAGCATACCAAAAATAATGACACTCACCCTATATTTTACAGAAGGCTTGAGAATTTTTTTTTCTATATATATTCTAATAGCCCAAGTCGCGCTCTATAATTCTAATATATTTGATAAATCTTCAAGTGATATTATAATATTCAAAACATAGCGAAAAAGTGATTGATTCACAAAAAAATGTTTTTTGAAGGAAGTTTATCAAATTTCTATTACATCAAATATTCAAAATAATCACCTTGGTTATTTACATATAATTGCATTCGTTGAATCCATTTATCAAAAGTTTTTCTATACTCTTCTTTTTTCAACGAGTTCATAAATTTGATCACAGCTTCATACAACGATTCGGAATCATCTTGATCGTCAAGATTTTGTTTGATTAGATCAAACAACCAGAAGTTACATGGAGCCAGATCTGGAGAATTAGGTGGATATGGCATTGTTGTTACATCTTCCGACTCAAGATAATTGACTACATCTTCATGAATATGTGGTTTTCAATTATCATGATGAAGTTTAATTGTTCGAGTACCTACGGTAGGCCGTTGATTCTTAATTTCATCAATAACAGGTTTCAAACAATTATTAATGTAATACTGATGATCGATTGTTTGTCCACGTTTAACAGAATGAATTAAAACTGGACCAGTTGACTTAAAGAAAATAGACAAGAGAGTTCTGGGAGCAAAACGACTATGTCGAACGACCGTTGGTGCAGGATCTTCCCTTGCTACCTAGGCAGCATTCGATGATTTTCGATCGATTTGCTTGTGATAAAACCATGATTTATCGCATGTCACCACATCACACAATTTTCAAACACCTTGTTCAAATTTTAGCAAGTTTTCTTGGCATATTCGTACTCGTTCAGCTTTTTGAGAGTTAGTCAGATGTTTGGCAACATAACGAGCAGTGACTTTTTTAAACTGCAGATGATCAGAAACAATTCGTTGAACGGTGCCATGACTTAGACCACTTCGTGCTTCAAGTTCGTCAATCGTAGCATAAGGATCATCATTAATAAGATCGCGAACTTGTTCAATATTTTCAGATGTTGTCTCCGTTATAGGTCTGCCAGGTCTCTCTTCATCTTCAACTTCCTCTCGACCTTCACGAAACCGTTTTGACCATCTTTGAACAGTTCTGAGATGGGGAACTTCATCAACAAAGACAGTATATAATTCATTATAAATAACTATTGGTTCAATATGAAGTGCAGTACGCACTTTAATATAGAAACGAAAATGTTCTTTATCCATTCAAAGATAAGTGAACAGTTTTTATCGTATATGATCTACGTTGGAAATACAGCATTATATTGTTTTGGATGTGTTGTTTCTGTTCTCGCCTTTTTTTTCGTTTAATTTTCTCCCCTCTTTTCTTTACCTTTTCAACTTCTTTGGTATCTAGCCGCGTTTGTACATATAAAACACACGTGTTTTGTTTTTGTTTTTTTCTATGTGTGCAGTTAGTTCTTGTTTATTCTCAAAGTGAAAATTCATAAAAGTTACAGCAAACTTCAGTACGTCAAAATTTTTTCTAATATGATATCACTTGAAGATTTATCAAATATAGTAGAATTATAGAGCGCAACTTGGACTATCAGAATATATAGAAAAAAAATTTCTCAAACCTTCTGTAAAATATAATAGGGTCGACGTCATTACTTTTGGTATGCTCTAAGTATTATAGAAAGACAGACAGAAAGATTTTTGTGGGACAGACCCTTTAGCAACCTAAGGAGTCGATATCTTCTAATCGGTATCGCAACATTCTCAATATTAATATCGACAATAATATGTGTAATTTGATTAGTAAGAAGATGTAACATTGTTTTATCTTAAATATAAATAATTGATGAAATTAATTAAAATTCATAAATATACCTGATAAATGCCGTAAAAGTATTTCCGGTTGATAATTGACTAATGATAATGAATGGAGTCGAGGATAATCAATAGCATTAATAACACGTTCCATAGAATGTGATTCAAGAGTGAGTTTGATTATTTTCTCATTAATTCGAGGTAAGATTTTCGAACAAATTCGTGAAAGAATATCAATCTCTACTGAAGAACTATGAATATCATCTCGTTTAATCACAAAATTGAGATGATCAATAACGAGAGAATCAAGTGCTAATCGATCAAATCGCTGATTTACATCTACCAATGAATAGAGCATATCAATCGTATTCAGTTTATTGAAAATGGTAAGTAACATTTCATCTGGTAGATCTAGTATATTAATATCATTGTGATTTAAAATGTTCATGTCTAACGATTATATTTCACTTCAGTCATTCTCATTTTCTTTCAACCTATATATATATATAATATGTTATTTTTCTCGCTACCGTCCGCGAGAATAATATTCACATATTCATGTTATATGATAATGAATGCCTGATGCTATTTTTCTTTCTACCGGAAATTTTTTTCATTGATAACGGTGGAAAATTTGCACAATCACTTTGTGATAATCTGACTGCATTTATCATATATTAAATGTATTTTTAACAATTAGTGTCATATTTACATAAAGTCACAAAATCAAACACTCAAAATATTTGCAAAAAGGTCTCAAACTTCTTTTTCATCAAACAATGGTATTGATACACTTTGTTTAAATATTTTAAACATTATAATTTAAAATCAGCATGTATAAATTGTATTCATCTAAACATTCAATGTATGCGCTATTGTTTCTTTTGTTTGTGTATCTTTCATAGTTGTTTTTTAAGTTGATAGTCAAAGTATTTGAAACGAAGACCTTATATTTTATTATCCACATCATCGGTTTCATCAAATTTTACATAACCATTTTCAACAGTCTATAATTATTTAATACGACAATAATTCATTTTTCTTTCTATGTGAATCAAACCTGATATTCTCAATAAATCAGGTCAAGATCATGTAGTGTTCAAAACTGTGAAACAACTTCCGCATCAAACGTAAACGATACACCATAATTATTTTCACCCCTTATGATGCATCTTTATCTGGATCTAACCAAAGGAAATCATAAAATAATTCTGCATGAGGTACATCAGTTGATCTTGTAATGTGTTTTATTTGTTTAAGTGAATGTAAATCTAGATAAAGATCATTATGAGAAGGAAAAATTTTTTTCGTGATTGATTTTCGTAATTGATAAACAATTAAAACGATCAGTAAATGTTTTCCATAATTCAACGTTGTAATGTCGTTTAACTACATCATAAAAATTATGTATACGAGTAATTTCTATTTATAATGTGTGAAAGTGAAATAAAATGAAGTGAATCCTTAATTTATTGACATAAACCTTCTCAACAAGATAAAATAAATGAAAAATGCTGAATTAAAATAAAAGATATAATCGAAATATCTATATAAAGTTCAATCTAAAATTGTTCAGCTTGTGATTGTTACATATCTTCTGTAACTTATTGTTGATCATTCGGTTTCTATACTACCTCAATCTGTTTCTACGTAAAGCCCTCGACACATTAGAAGACCCTCCATAATAGAAGAACCCTCTTGAATAAATGACACAAAAGACATATTAGAGGACCCTTAGAAAATCGATGTTTTGAAATAGTTTCTGAAGTTTATTGCCTTGTTTAGTGTTTAAGTGCAGAATGATATCGAAATTCAGTACGAACAATATTTTGCTTTCTCTCTCATAACGAAGTGTCAGACTCGAATCAGTAAAATCCTGAGAAGCAGCTAATACGAAACAACTGTTTATTAATAATTGCGTTTGTTTGTAAAAACATATCATGGAGTCATTTTAGTACTCCTTTGCGGCTTACTTTGAAAACATTCTTCAGGCTCTATACACGGAAAACACGCTTCCATAGTCATAGGATCTAATGAACGCAATGCCCGTTCGTGCGTGTAACACATGAAGAGATCTTTGTACAATAGTAACAGATTAGATAAAATGCCGCTTTGTATTAATAAAAAGGCCTCTTTATCTTTGATTTTGTTCTAGAAAATCAGACGTTTTCACCATAAAACAGTGTTTCATCATTGAAGAAAGCATAACTTCATATACAGTCTAC